CCATAGGTCATGTATATCCCATAGATCATGTATATCCCATAGATCATATATATCCCATGGATCATGTATATCCCATGGATCATGTATATCCCATATATCTTGTATATCCCATAGATCATGTATATCCCATGGATCATGTATATCCATTGGATCATGTATATCCCATAGATCATGAATATCCTATGGGTCATGTATATCCCATTGATCTTGTATATCCCATAGATCATGTATCCCATAGATCATGTCCCATAGATCATGTATATCCCATGGATCATGTAAATCCCATAGATCATGTGTTCTATTAATGCCAGCTTCTTGCCATGATCCAAGATTGGGACCCAAGAAATTCACGCCAAACTGTAATATACAGACATAAATCGTCTCCTTTAAACGATGTGCCCCCGACTAGTTTTACTGCGAGTAACTTTTAATCCTGAGTCCGTTGGACTGGGAACGTTTTACCGGAGCAGTTCGATGGATCCGTGGAGGGTGCTCAGCTGTGAAGGTTTTCTTTGTGATGAAGTCCAGCTTTGAAACGATGCAGTGCCTGAGTGGCTGGGAAAGATGTTCATTAGCTGGTGCACTTTATGAACACTGTAGCTTCCGTCTCCACAGACCTGAGCACGGATGTGGGGTTCTGCTTCGGATCCCATCAATTTTTGTCGTCTCTACAGCACGCTGAGCGCAGAGGCCTCTTATACAGTAACTCACTCTGCTTCTTCCCATTTTCCAGCACAAGCTTTTTAACAAGCCGGTTGTTTATGATTGATGGATCTACGTTGTTTCAGATAATCCGGTGTGCAGCTCATGACTCGTATGACAGCTGGTTGGGCTTCGAGTGTGTGACGGGTCGAGAGCTGGAGCTGGTTCAGAGACGATGCCTGACCTGTAGCATGTGTCCCGATGATGTCTCAATGTTTCTAAATCATTCACTCAGATCCATTTTTCTTCAGTACGTTTTTTTAATCATGCAATTTATGTCCGATTTTCACAATTCACATACAAAACCTTCAGCTCGTTCCTGCTGTGACTTTTTGTATTTGTGCTATTTTTACATTTAGAAATATTTACCTTTTTCGGCCATTGAAAATGAATGGAGCTCTCTTCACATCCTTCAAACCCTTTGTGCTCTTTAAGTCCTTTTACTGCTTATTTCAGCTTTTGATGTGGTTCAGTTTATTCCACTGTTTTGTGCTAATTCAGCAACTATCAGCTTCTTTCTGCCGATCTAAGCTTTTTTTCCTATCATTTTTTTTTTATTTTGGACTTTTTGCTTCTTTCTAATAATTGAAACTTTTTATGCCATTTCAATTGTTTCCCCCAATTTCTGCTTTTTTCAGCTTATTACACTTTTGTTTTTGTTTTGTTTTTTTTAGCAAATTTCATCTTTTTAAAATCTACTGTTTATCTCCCTATTTCAGCATATTCTACTAATTTATGTCCAATTCAGCTTTTGCTTTCCTGCTGTCAGCAAATGCCAGCTGTTCAAATTCAGCTCACATTAGGACTTTAGAGATGAAACATTTTCAGCTGGTTTCAGTGTCTTCAGGAGCTTTAAGCAAATATTGCTGAATGATTTTTGCTTAAAGCTGCTGAAGAAGCTGAAATCAGCTGAAAATGTTTCATCTTCACGATGATACTGCGAAGTAGCGAGGGACTACAAAATTTGTCTGTATCTGTCTATATCAATCTGTCTATATCTATCTGTCTATATCTGTCTATCTCTTGTCTGTCTATCTATATGTCTGTATATCTATATCTGTCTATCTATATCTGTCTGTCTATATCTGTCTGTCTATCTGTCTATATCTGTCTATTTGTCTGTCTGTCTCTATATCTATCTAACTATATTTGTCTATCTGTCTATTTGTCTGTCTGTCTCTATATCTATCTAACTATATCTGTCTATATCTATATATATCTGTCTGTCTGTATCTAGCTGCCTGTCTATATCTATCTGTCTATCTATATGTATCTGTCTGTCTATATCTCTGTCTATATCT